CTCTCTCTCTCTCTCTCTCTCTCTCTCTCTCTCTCTCTCTCTCTCTCTCTCTCTCTCTCTCTCTCTCTCTTCTCTCTCTCTCTCTCACTTTCTGTTTCTTTCCTTCTCTCTTATTCTCTCTCTCTTTCTCTCTTTCTGTTTCTCTCTCTCTCTCTCACTTTCTGTTTCTTTCCTTCTCTCTTATTCTCTCTCTCTTTCTTTTTCTCTCTCTTTCTTTTTCTCTCTTTCTTTTTCTCTCTCTCTTTCTCTCTCTTTCTCTCTCTCTCTCTTTCTCTCTCTCTCTCTCTCTCTCTCTCTCTCTCTCTCTCTCTCTCTCTCTCTCTCTCTCTCTCTCTCTCTCTCTCTCTCTCTCTCTCTGTGTGTGTGTGGTGTGTGTGTGTGTGTGTGTGTGTGCGTGCGTGCGTGCGTGCGTGTGTGTGTGTGCCTCCCTTGGTCTCATAATCAACCCATTGAAAGCGAAGCACATTTCCAGATCTCGTAAATTACCTTACATTCCAAGGTTAGGGGGACAAACTATTGCAAGAACTGACACCTACAAATAATTTGGTGTTATGGTGACTGCTCCCCACCTCATGTTCCACAACTCACGCTTTGCCAAGAATATTGTTCAAAACATAAAGGAACGTTGCCTTGAGCGTTTAAGACCATTGCAATACATAAGTAACAGAAATGTAGGTGCCTCCCCGAGAGTCCTAAGGCTGATGTATATCTCCCTTGTCCGTGACAGACTATGCACGCCCATTTATTAGTATGCTGCCACCGAGTGCCCTCAAACCCCTTGAAGTTTTACAGAATAAGGCCATGGGAATTATACTTGGGTGTCCAGTGACTGCTAATTTTCTCGTCATGAGGAAAGAGTTAGACCTCCCCTCTATTCACAGTCGTGTCATCTAAGTTAACACCATACTTGGTATCAGACTCCTGCAACTTCTCCCCAGACCACAAATCTCCAGTATCCTATCAAATGATATAAATTATAGAGTCAGTCATGCCCGGCCTCCAATCTTATCCAGTCCAACTAAGAATGGAAAACTAAAGCTGCTCATACTATCATGTTCTTCAATGTATGGAACAACGAAGCTATTAATATTCCAGGTACAGTACTTGCTGCTCCTTGGCACAGAACTCATGTACATGTTTATATTGATAAACTAATAGGGTCTAAATCTATGGCTTCAAAAACGGAACTAAAAGCTCACAACTTGGAATATATAGATGGCATTCTACATCCCCCTCATGGTGCGCCCCCACTTGCAATCTACTGTGATGCCTCCGCTGATCCTCATGGAGCAACAGGGATTGGCGTGCTAATTCCTGATATAGATCTTGAAGAAAGTGTGTGCATCTCCAACTGGGCAAGCACAACTGATGCCGAGTCAGTAGCTATATATCATGCCATTAAGAAAGGTAGTGAGCAGCGGCGAAACCTGGCTGTCTTCACAGACAGCCAAGGCGCTTTCCACAGGCTTACTGCGTTTAATCCAGAAAACATGGTAACTAAGAATATCCTTCACCAAATTTCTAAATTATCAGAACGGGGTACTCAAGTTTCACTATACTGGATACCGTCTCATATAGGAATATCATTATTTGACAGGGCTGATCAATTAGCCAGGTTAGCACTTTCCCATGAAGATCCATATTATACAATACCGCTATCTCTCAATCAAATGAAAGAGGATAAACTGTCTTAGAGATTATGAGGGCCAGATATGGACCACTGAAAAGATGAAAAAAGTCGGACATGGTACTATCTGGCATTACGAGAGCATTGCTGGGACATCAAATTTAGACAAACCCTATAAAGTCTATCACGGACTGTCTCGGAGACAGGTTACATTAACTAGGCTACGCATAGGATATCAGTACACTGTACAATATGTACAGGATGCAGTTTTGGATGCAAATCCTGTTTCATATCACCACTGCAAACTGTGCAAGACACCCAAGTCGCATAATCTCACTCGTTACTTTGTTGCATAAAGACTGCATCCTATCGATCAAACACTACAGTTCACAGATTAGCACTTGTTGATTATATTACCTTTTATAGACACTGGTCTTGTCTTTGACATGATTAGTGATGTAAAATGTTTTTACCAGCCAGATGATATTTTAATACAGTGATAATAGCACAGCCCTTCAGGCATGTATGTAACATTAATGTTTGACCGATGGCCCTCTTCACAAATAGAAGCACAGCCAGTTTGGATAGATGCTTTGGTATCTTAGCCTGGCTTTTTACACTTTTTACACTGTTCTGTAAATTAATGTTATCAATTCAAATCAAATCTCTCTCTCTCTCTCTCTCTCTCTCTCTCTCTCTCTCTCTCTCTCTCTCTCTCTCTCTCTCTCTCTCTCTCTCTCTCTCTCTCTCGCTCTCGCTCTCGCTCTCTCTCGCTCTCTTTCTATTTCTCTCTCGCTCTCTTTCTATTTCTCTCTCGCTCAAATTCTGTTTCTCTCTCTCTTTCTCTGCTTCTCTCTCTCTCTTTCTGCTTCTCTCTCTCTCTTTCTGTTTCTCTCTCTCTCTCTCTCTCTCTCTCTCTCTCTCTCTCTCTCTCTCTCTCTCTCTCTCTCTCTCTCTCTCTCTCTCTCTCTCTGTTTCTCTCTCTCCCTTTCTCCCTTTCTCTCCCTCCCTCCCTCCCTTCTTCCCTCTCCTTCTCCCTCTCCCTCTCCCTCTCCCTCTCCCTCTCCCTCTCTATCTCCATCTCTCCTCTCTCCTCTCTCCCTCTCTCCTTCCTCTCTTTATCTCTCCTTCCCTCTGCTCTCTCTTCCTCTCTCCATTTCTCCTTCCCTCTCCCCTCTCTCCATCCCTCTCCCATCTTCCGTCTCTCCTTTCCTCTCCCATCTCTCATCTCCCCTTCCTTCTTCCTCTCTCCTTTCCTCTTCCTCTCTTTTTCCCTCTTCCTCTTTCCTTCCCTCTTCCTCTCTCCTTCCCTCTTCCTCTCTCCTTCCCTCTTCCTCTCTCCATTTCTCCTTCCCTCTCCCCTCTCTCCATCCCTCTCCCATCTTCCGTCTCTCCTTTCCTCTCCCATCTCTCATCTCTCCTTCCTTCTTCCTCTCTCCTTCCCTCTTCCTCTCTCCTTCCCTCTTCCTCTCTCCTTCCCTCTTCCTCTCTCCTTCCCTCTTCCTTTCTCCTTCCCTCTTCCTCTCTCCTTCCCTCTTCCTTTCTCCTTCTCTATTCCTCTCTCCTTCCCTCTTCCTCTCTCCTTCCCTCTTCCTCTCTCCATTTCTCCTTCCCTCTCCCCTCTCTCCATCCCTCTCCCATCTTCCGTCTCTCCTTTCCTCTCCCATCTCTCATCTCTCCTTCCTTCTTCCTCTCTCCTTCCCTCTTCCTCTCTCCTTCCCTCTTCCTCTCTCCTTCCCTCTTCCTCTCTCCTTCCCTCTTCCTCTCTCCTTCCCTCTTCCTTTCTCCTTCTCTCTTCCTCTCTCCTTCCCTCTTCCTCTCTCCTTCCCTCTTCCTCTCTCCTTCCCTCTTCCTCTCTCCTTCCCTCTTCCTCTCTCCATTTCTCCTTCCCTCTCCCCTCTCTCCATCCCTCTCCCATCTTCCGTCTCTCCTTTCCTCTCCCATCTCTCATCTCTCCTTCCTTCTTCCTCTCTCCTTCCCTCTTCCTTTCTCCTTCTCTATTCCTCTCTCCTTCCCTCTTCCTCTCTCCTTCCCTCTTCCTCTCTCCTTCCCTCTTCCTCTCTCCTTCCCTCTTCCTCTCTCCTTCCCTCTTCCTCTCTCCTTCCTTCTTCCTTTCTCCTTCTCTATTCCTCTTTCCTTCCCTCTTCCTCTCTCCTTCCCTCTTCCTCTCTCCGTCCCTCTTCCTCTCTCCTTCCCTCTTCCTCTCTCCGTCCCTCTTCCTCTCTCCTTCCCTCTCCCATCCCGTCTCTCCTTCCCTCTCTCATCTCCCGTCTCTCCTTCCCTCTCCCTCTCTCCTTCCTCTTCCTCTCTCCTTCCCCTCCTATCTCCCGTCTCTCCTTCCCTCTCCTATCTCCCGTCTCTCCTTCCCTCTCCCATCTCCCGTCTCTCCTTCCCTCTCCCATCTCCCGTCTCTCCTTCCCTCTCTCATCTCCCGTCTCTCCTTCCCTCTCCCTCTCTCCTTCCCTCTTCCTCTCTCCTTCCCTCTCCCATCTCCCGTCTCTCCTTCCCTCTCTCATCTCCCGTCTCTCCTTCCCTCTCCCTCTCTCCTTCCTCTTCCTCTCTCCTTCCCCTCCTATCTCCCGTCTCTCCTTCCCTCTCCTATCTCCCGTCTCTCCTTCCCTCTCTCATCTCCCGTCTCTCCTTCCCTCTCTCATCTCCCGTCTCTCCTTCCCTCTCCCTCTCTCCTTCCTCTTCCTCTCTCCTTCCCCTCTTATCTCCCGTCTCTCCTTCCCTCTCCTATCTCCCGTCTCTCCTTCCCTCTCCCATCTCCCGTCTCTCCTTCCCTCTTCATCTCCCGTCTCTCCTTCCCTCTCCCTCTCTCCTTCCTCTTCCTCTCTCCTTCCCCTCCTATCTCCCGTCTCTCCTTCCCTCTCCTATCTCCCGTCTCTCCTTCCTTCTCTCATCTCCCGTCTCTCGTTCCCTCTCCCTCTCCTTCTCTCTTCCTCTCTCCTTCCCTTTTCCTTTCTCTTTCTCTATTCCTCTCTATTTCCCTCTTCCTCTCTCCTTTCCTCTTCCTCTCTCCTTCCCTCTTCCTCTCTCCGTCCCTCTTCCTCTCTCATTCCCTCTTCCTCTCTCCTTCCCTCTTCCTCTCTCCTTCCCTTCCCCTCTCTCCTTCATTCTCCCATCTCCCGTCTCTCCATCCCTCTCCCATCTCCCCTCTCTCCTTCCCTCTCCCATCTCCCCTCCCTCCTTCCCTCTCCCATCTCCCTCTCTCCTTCCTTCTTCCTATCTCCTTCCCTCCCCTCTCTCCTTCCCTCTCCCTGTCTCCTTCCCTCTCCCCTCTCCCTCCCTCTATCACTCCCTCCCTCCTTTCCTTGTATAAGCTGCCTAAAACCTGGAAAATCTAGCACCCTCGCGTCCTTCTCGTTCGCAG